AAGAAAAAAAGAATTTTTTTTGTTGGGGGAAGAAGGGGGGGGGGGGGGAGAAAAAAAACACATAAATGGGTCAGAGAGAGAGTGACTCTCCAGCAGCCTGAGTTGAATCCCTAGAAGGCAACAGCTTCAGCCTAAAGATTAACATGGTGAACAAGGAAGCCAAATATTTAATCAGGGTAAACTACATTCATTGTGCATGCTGGTCATCTCCCCCTGCATTTTGGGTTGGTAATTGACAGACCTTCCTTAGAAGAGAGGTTCAGGAACTGATCCACTTCATGGGGCTCCAATTTAATCTCTGGAAGAACTTTCTGGCTCAGTGGTTTCATCTAGAAAACAGAAATTAACAGCATGAAAATCCAAAGCACACATCTTAAAAATCTTAATAGAAGGATACAAGTATGACTTCTCCATAAATGGAGAGGTTTCCCTCTCCTGCTCTGCTACAGGCAAAGCTTTAACTGCTTCACACAGTTTGCTAAACCAGGCTACAGAGAATACTGCCCTGACTACTCCCACAGTGGCTTTTCTTACTACTATATTTAGCTAAATAAAAGATTACGCCTCAGAGATGACATTTCAGACTGAAAGCTAGCATGCAACCCACTCAAATTACTTCTCTTAGCAACAGAGCTGCCGCTAGGATCTGCCGGACTGCACAGTCTGTTTGAGCAGAGACAGAAACACTCCTGGCAGTTGGGGGAGAGCCTGTTCAAAACCGTTGTCACCTGGGAGCAAGAGCAAGGGGCCAGTCACTGAGCACCAGATTATTGAACCCAAGTTCATTTCACGGTGTGGAGGAGCAGGAAAAGAGACAGTCACGGCTGACCGAAGTTTGGAAGACATCTGGCTCGCCCTGTTGACAGGGCTGGGGCATCAGGCTGCCAAGCTGTTGCCTAGAGTCTGCCTGAATGCTACAGTCCCAGGCTTTAGGAAGTCAATCATCTGGCACATCAGCATGCTCACTGCAGCCAAAGTCTCCTTCAATAACCTGTGTAACTAATCCGTGCAATGGTAAGGAGCCACCAGCTAGTCCCAATATACTCTTTGCAAATCATGGCATCCCAAGCTACAGCAGGACTATGTACTGGGGACAGCACATTCAGACTAGAAGAGGATTATGGGAAACTTGTGTTTACTTTTTTCAGTTTCTCGTAAAATATTTTCTGTTGCACATATTTCTGATCCACATCCAAGTGGAAACATTTATTTTCAGCGTATACTAACTCCACCTGGCCTGGACTGACATTGCTCCCTCGGGACTGAGAACAGTTATGCTTCTTCCTCCACTGACAGGGGACTCTGGTGAGCCATCAGCTGCTGCAGTTCATTCTCCTTAACCACAGCCACACTACACCCTTGAGAATGCCCACTGGCTGCTCCAGCTGTGGTGCATCACAAATGCTCCTTACAAGACAGGTTGGTGTGGAAGCAGCAGCAGCCCAAAATGTCAAAGGTTCATAGATCTGGCAAAAGCGACTTAGCAGGCAAACAGGGAAACTCTCCAGTCATTTCAAACAAGGAGTCTTGTTCTGATTAGGGGAAGGCACAGCAGCACTAAGGGAAGTTATTAGGGAAGACGCTTAGCTTGTCACAGGCTCGATAGGGCAAATAGGTTAGTCAGTTCAGGTGGAACTGGTTCGTTAGAAACTGTCTAAATATTTTTAAAAACACATGAGCCCCAGGCTTTGGGGCTAGCATAGAAGAGAAAGTTGTGCATCCAACCATTAAGACCTGAAGATGCAGATAAGTGTTTTGAAACACAGGCTCTTACAGCAGCAGTGGGACACCAGCAAACGTTAAAAAAAAATTAAAGCAGACTGCACTGCGCACCCTGAATTGACAACCTTTGGCATCAAGGAGGTTACACTGGTATGCAGAGTCTTAGGAGAATCTGTAGCTAATTGCGCAGAGAGAACAGAAAGTCTGCATGTACCAGGGCATCCGTCTGTAGCTCAGGTTGTTCCCCCTCCAGCGACGTGGCCATGACAGTGAGACTGACTGAGGGAGCAAGGCCTGATGTCTCACACAACGCTGGCTCAGTCTTTATTGCTGCTGGAGTCAGCTCGGTACCCAGACACCATTCCTCATTTTCCAGGTCACCTGCCAGGGAAGGAAATTGGACACCACATGTTTAGGTCAGAGACAGAAAGACTACAAATGAAAATAATGTCATCCCTCCTCCAGAGAAGGGAAACAAACACAGAAGGCATTTCAGTCTATCAACAAAACTCTGCCCTTACTATTCAGCTCTCAGTCAATGCAGACAACTGTGCCATTTCAGGGCTGTAACTTAATCCTAGCCCCAGGATACAGAGAGGAGCAGCGAGGAAAGACACAGAACGCTAATCACCATACATTGCCAAAAGCTGCTAACACGTAGCAGAACAAGACTAAACAAGCCATTGGGTAGAGCAGCCAGGGATCCATGTCCTACACACACTAATGCCTGTTGACTCAGTCTTATTCTCCCTTGTAGAGATAGAATTTAGCCAGACTTCTGCTCCTTCTACTGCTTGCGATCATCAAATAGCTGGAGGACTGATATTATACATTTAAGAACAAAGGATTTTTCACACTCTCATCTTCAAAATTTTTCCCCCAAGGATTCATTTAGTAAGTATGAAAGAGGACAAAGGCTTTGATGATTTCACAGGAGCACCAGTGCCATGGTGATCATGCTAACTTCCTCCCCAGAGCCTCTGGAGGTCACAGCACAGAAGGCATATTTTGACCGGCAGCAATGAAAAGTGCGTCACATGTTGGCAGAATTGTCCCCTAGCCCCACTTACTGCAAGTTCACTGATCAGGAGAAAGCCATGCAACTTTTCACTGGACAAAGGTGTGCCTTGCACTGTAAAGAACTGGAAGAAGGCTGGCATGGTAAGTTGGTAGCTCCCCATTTCCATTCATGAGGTAGCTACTGTTTGGATTGCTTGAAAAGGGACTTACTCTCCCAGGTCTAAAGTATGATAGAGGATCAAGAACTTGGAAGGATTCAACCTTTAAAACAATTCCACAAGGCTACTAACAACCCCACTTTAAAAAAAAAAGAAATCAAATGCATTTTTGGCAGTTGCAATTCTGCCTTAAAAAAATTCCCATCCCTTTTGCTAGAGTTCAGTCATGTAAATTCTTTTCTCTTGCAGGAGAGTACCCTACACCAGCTGTACTGCACCCCAACAGTGTACAGCACAGTCCTCTGCCACAACTCGTCAGTAGTTGTGAGAAGCACGTCCATAAATCAAGCAGCTGGAATCTGAGGCCAAATACACATAAGAGAAGAGTGTTGATCTTTCTTTCAAAGCTTTCTCCTGCCTTCATACAGAGTATTTACTGCATATATGGAATTAAAGCAGAGAGCAAGCACGTAGACAGCATGGCTGTTGCTGTACAGCAACAGAGCTTCGAATTAACTGCATGCTGCATCAGCACTGTGGGAGGCTGCCACGGTGCTGCGGCTGTGCCACCAGCAGTTTGCAAGGCTGACACAAGACCCTTACACATCTGAACGTATCAAGCTGGTGAGATGTCAACAGAGTTCAGCTGCAAACAGGTAACAAAAATAAGAGCGGGCTTACGGCCCCTGTGCGGCTGTCTGCCCTTGCTATTAAGACCACACACACATACGGCGCACAGGCACTGGGCACAAGCTGGGTGACTGGAAGAAGGGAGAAGTATGTACATCTCCACTGCTAGTAATTACTTTGTGGTGGGACCTAACCTCCACCGCTGGCAAGGAAGGAGGTAATTTGAGTAAAGACACACCAAGGAATTAAAAATGAAAAATACATATCCTGTAATCAGAAGCTCAAGAACAGTGAGCCCAGCTCTGCCAAGAGAAGTAACTGTATAGCAAGGGCTAAACACCATATTTAAGTTTCTGGAGGGCTTACTCCCAAAGCTTTCTGGGAAATGCAGAAATATAAAAATAGAAGTATTTATGAAAAAAGAGGTAACATTGTCTAAATATTAACTCAGGAGAGAGGACATTGCTCTCTTTCAACCCTCCCTGAGCCTCTCTACTCACAAATACGAGAGCGCAGCTCCCTCCCTGCTGACTGCAATGAAATATTCAGTGGATCCGTGGACTCCCCCTAGGTTGCTGTGTGTGGATCATTCAGATAAGAGCTTTAAAGCGGTATCTTTGCCTGGAAATCCAGAACCCCTTGGCAAATACAACTTTCAAACGCTTGTTTGGACAACTTCTGTCAAAACCTCTCCCACATTGTGTAGTGCAGAGCCTCCTGCTTGCTGCCTCTCGTACCTCTGGGTCGAGCTACACGGTGGCAGTGCTATCGTCTGTCATCTACTTTAGACTCCCTTTGGGAGGGATGGCTACATACAAATGAGAGCTATCAGTGACCAAGTAATTAGCCCTGAACTTTCTGAGATTTATATCATCACGTAAGTAGAAGAGAAATCTAGCTGTGGGTGCCCAGCAAAACAGGGCATGTCCTCTAAGGCTGCACTTTGTGATGTTTATCACCTCTAATCCCCAGACTCATCACGAGGATTCAGCTGCTGTAAGACAGCAAGATACGCTGGCCTTCAGCCGGTCATTTTACTCCTCTGGAACCTGACTGCTCATTAACCTGACATCCCTGCCATCACCACTTAGATCCACACAAACTGCTTGGAGTTATTCTAGGTTTTAAAGCCAGTCTAACCAGTTTGTAGAGTTACAGATGGTTTTCAGCAACAGCAACACGCTGCATTTAACACTGAGGTAGCTTTGAAGAACTGCATCTAACACTTTTTTGACACTGCCTTTTACGATGCGTGGTGACAGCTGTCATTCCAGATGAACAACCCTGTGAAAGGAAGGGATGGAGCAACACACTGGTTGAATCCCACCTTGATACTCCCCTCTCCCTGCTTTTTCCAAGCCCCTGTTACGCATTCACTATCATGATCAGTGTTGTGCAACGAGTTACTTTCTTTTGACACATTCCAACTTCTGAAGTCACCAAGGATCTCTCCTCTGCTCCAAGAGAGCTGCAAGGACATTTCCCACTCTCCTTTCACCTCTTCCTGAGCATAGCAGGTTGACATTATCTGAAAATAATTCATAGTTTATTCTTATAATAGCCCCTAAACACCTCAATCCACTCTGCCAAGCACTGTACTAGCCAAACAAAGCAGCAGTCCTTGCCCCAATGAGAATGCTGCACAAAACCAGCCAAATTTAGGCAATTAGGGGGAAAACTGAGCAGGCTACAGGATACTGGTCGTACTGAGAGGCATGGCACACCCTCCAAGACCACGGTATTTCTGACAGAGGGGTACGAAGAACCATGAGAGGTCTTATGGAATAATGAGAACAAGCAAGAAGGTGCCCATGAAATATGGAAACGAAAGGGCAATGGAGGCCGGCTCAAGGGACCCACTGGAGCAGAAGGGAGGTGTCTTCTCCAAACCACGCAAGACATGCTGTGGAAAGAGTAGATGACTGGTGTCAAGAAATTGATGGTGAGTATTTGTATTTATATTTATATTTGACATGATCCAGGAGGTACACCTGAACTATTGAGACAGAGTCCAAAACAAAAGGCTGAGAAAATGATCTTGGTGATGACATTCTAGATGGGTAGGAAATAGGGCAACACTGCATTGCTAAGGTGAGACAAAATACGCTGCAAACCATTCAGATATAAAGAGAAGAAAGCCTGAACAAGAGATTTAGCTATTCAAATGGCTAGGAAAATGCTTATCCTAAACACGGTCACTTTGGCTGCTAGAAATCTCTTCTCAGGCTTCAAAATCCTGACTGTTGAACAAATTATACCAACTGCTTTACCCCCGCTGAAACTTCCTATGAACTTCAGAGCTCTACTGCACAATGACTAGATGAGAAGCACTCCCTTTCACCTACCCTCTCATAAGTCCATGAATGCTAGGCATTTTGGCACATGAAATATGTCATTTAAGGAGTCAACACAGTAATTAGCAAAATCCCAGCTAATGCTTCTATGTGTGACGCACCAGCACTGTTAAATTCCACATACGGACTATGTTAACTGAACATTAATGTTGCAAAGCACCCGGGTATTAAGCAATACCTATGAAGGTTTAATTCGGTGTACTTTTGCATGTTACATACACCTGAAAATAGCAATGTTTTAATAATGTGATCAAATAATTTCTCTGCAGAACCCGTGCCTTACCCAACATGCAGAATGCATGGTGCTCCCCTAACTGAGGAGCTGTACTGTGTTTTGTTATTCTCATCGTCTCATGCACAGTCTCATCTCTCCTTTACCAAATCAATTCAAATTCTGTTCCCACAGAGCTGTTTAATTCCCTCCTAGGGCACAAGCAAAATGCTTCACCAACCTGAATTAATTTCTACAGCAGTCCTGAAAATTCAAGTGAGCCATCCAAAGATTAAGGTCAAAAAGTATCTAGTAATTTAAAATGGCCAACTGAAGACAACTGAAATTGGATTTTTCAGATGATTTAGCACTGGTATTATACTTTAGCAAAACACAGTATGCATTGAGTTTTCAGGTGCTGCCACTTCTGCAAGTTAAACGTCAGAGTTTCAAATCAAGCATCCAAAACCGCCATTCATCACAGCAACCCAGGGTTTGTGACACATGCATCTAAGATCTTCTCTTCTGTGTCCAAGACTAAAATTACATTTCTTTGGAAATTTTTTGTGTGCTGCTTTTGTCATCAAGCTTGTCCTACTTTTTTGGCAGACTCTTGTTTAGCATGCATCTTCCACCTTCTTTTAAAAATAAAAAAAAAAAAAAGGCAGGAGCCTTACAAAGCACCAAAGTAAGTTCAATCAGTGTACTGAGCAAAGTTCTCACTGACAGGAAAAACTCTAAACATGTTCTCTTCTTTCCCAGCTGCACTCATCCCGAGTCCAGCTTGGTCCAAGATACAACATGCAATGTGCTGTAAGATGCTGTGTACACGATAATGAAGAAGAGGAAACTCAAAAGGGGACATAATTCCCTGAGTACTGTAAGTGTAAGCACTGCACATACCGCACATCTAAAGCAAGGTGTCCAAGTAGCAAACAAACTCTTTCTGTCCTCTCGTCTTTATTTCAGAGACCCTAGTCCTGCCCCAGGTTCCATCATCTGCAGTTG